GACGGTGCAATTGGTGGAGCTATCTGTAAGAGGTGTGTTGTAGCTAAGCTACGCATACCCTGTTAGTTAAGAAGCCAGTGCATTGAAGCGGAAAGGTATAGCGGATCGGTAACGCGGAACGCGGATTTTAGAGTAGAGTCACCGTCAGTCCGTGGGTCTCCACATGCAGCAACTTCCACGTAGTGAGACCTGGGTCGGTATTACTTGCATACTCTAATTATAGAATCTTTAACGCAAGTATTACTGAGCGAATGGCTGCATATTTTTTTACTTTTCCAATATCTTTTTAATCTAATTCCAACTGAGCATTAATATTTTTCCACTTTATATCGCTAATAATACTTCAAAAGAAGAAATATGTCAGAAATCTATTGTACTATAATTTCTCAGAGAAACGAAAAGGAAATTTCTCTATCACACTTTAATGTCCGGTGTCATTTCTATTTTTTCTTGTTTACTATCATTATAAATCCTTTATAAATCTCGGGTGGGACCCATGGGAGTGCCCCATGGGAGTGGGCCTCTGTGCGGGTTACTGTCTCAGTATCTTAAAGACCTGCTTCTCTTTTCTTCTCTTTCTGGGGCATTCTTTTCTGTCTCATATTTTTCATTCTTATTTGCTCTTATTAATTATGATTTATAAGTCTCGGGTGGGACCCATGGGATGGGGACATGGGTGTGGGCCTCTGTGCGGGTTGCTGTCTCAGAATCGTGTAGAGTTGCTTCTATTTTCTTATCTTTCTGCAGGTTTCTTTTCTATCTCATATTTTTCTTCTTTAGTTATGTTTTTAATTATGTTATTAATATGTTATTTCTTTTCATTATGTCTTTTCAGATTTATTATTGTCATTTCTTCTTAATTATGTCTTTTCAGAATATAATCATGTTATTTCTTTTTAATTATGTTTCTTTAATATTTATTTATTTTGTTTCTTTCTAATTATGTTTTTAATTATGTTTTCAGTTTTGTTATTAATATATTCTTATTAATTGTGATTTACAGGTTTTAGGTAGGATCTATGAGATGAAGCGGACTGTTGTTTCAGCAGCATGCAGGCCTACTTCTATTTTATTAACTTTCAGCAGCTCTATTTATTACTCATATTTTTCATCTATAATTATGTTTTTAATTATGTTTTTAATTATGTTATTAATATGTTATTTCTTTTTATTGTATCTTTTCAGAATTTAATTATGTTATTATCTTTTAATTATGTTTCTTTATTATTTATTTATGTTATTTCTTTTTAATTATGTTCTTATGTTTTTAGGTTTGTTATTAATATACTCTTATTAATTATGATTTACAGGTTTTAGATAGGATCCATGAGATGAAGCGGACTGTTGTTTCAGCAGCGTGCAGAGCTACTTCTATTTTCTTATCTTTCTTTTATTCATTTTCTTTTTTTCTTTTTCAGGATAGATCATCAAGGCATAGGTTCATCTCTGGTCGAATGCGTCATCGCCTGGCACGATCCATCAACGATTTTTACGCGGTTACGGGAAGGATAGGAAGAACACTGGCGTGCGTGTCGGCGTGCACAAGCGTGGGTGTTCTCGGGCGCGATTAAATTTCGTTTGATAGTTCGAATCGAAAACGCGAATTTAGAGTAGAGTCACCGTTTTTCTAACACTCACGTGAATGAACGCGGGCGCGACTTAAAAGTCCTACCGGGGACTTCGTTTATATTTGCTCGAATATTCGATTAGATTACCTCGCGAACGCGTTTTTTAGAGTAGAGTCACCGATTTCCGAACACTTGCGTGGGTGTCCGGGCGCGATTAAAAGTCCTATCATGGACTTCGTTTAGTGTTGAAATTCGGGGTGCGCGAACGGTTTACCTTGTAGTGCTGTACATAGCTGGCTGATGTTATGACAATCCTCATATTTGGTAGCGGGGCGGAAATCCCGACAAATATCATGGAAAGTCTAAATACCGGTTAGCATATGTCACTTTGGATTTCAACTTAGAGTCACCGTTATTCTAACACTCACGTGAGTGTTCGCGTGCGCGATTAAAAGTCCTACCGGGGACTTCGTTTTGTTTGCTCGAATATTCGATTAGTCTATTTAGAGTAGAGTCACCGTTTTCCGAACTCTTGCGTGGGTGTCCGCGCGCGATTAAAAGTCCTATCATGGACTTCGTTTTAGTGTTGAAATTTGGAGTGCGCTTCGGATTTCAACTTAGAGTCACCGTTATTCTAACTCTCACGTAAGAGTTCGCATGCGCGATTTAAAGTCCTACCGGGGACTTCGTTTGATTTCTTCGACATATCGATTAGATTACTTCGCGAATTTGGATAGAACAGTAGAATCTACGTAATTATAACACACGTGAGTGTCGCGAACGCGATTAATGCGCTTTGATTGTTCGAAATTCGGAAGCACGTATTCAGATGTGCGTAATAATCCGTTATGCCTGAGGCGGAGGGTGTCGAACGGTTAAGCTTTCTGTAAGTGGAGTCCCTGTAGCTGAGGCTAGATACTTCCTGTTAGCTTTGTACCATGCCCAAGATATCCGAAGCGGAAGGTATAAGGGTCGGTATCGCGGAACGCGGATTTTAGAGTAAAGTAGAGTCACCGTTAGCCCGTGGGTCTCCACATGCAGCAACTTCCACGTAGTGAGACCTGGGTCGATAATACTTGGAAAGATTAATTGTAAATTTTTAAATGCAAGTATTACCGAGCGAATGGCTGCATATTGTAATACTTTTCCAATATCTTTTCAAACTAATTCCAACTAAACATTAACATATTTTCATTTTATATAGGTAATTGTACTTCAAAAGAAGAAATTTAACAGAAATATATTATACAATAATTTCCTAGACAAACGAAAAGGAAATTTTTCTATCTCTCTTTTACGTCCGCTGTCATTTCTATTTATTGTTATTTACTCTCATTAATTATCCTTTGTGTATTTCGGGTGGGACCCATGGGAGGGGCCTGTGGGGGAGGGCTTCTGTGCGGGTTGCTGTCTCAGCATCATATAGAATTTTTTCTCTTGTCTTATCTTTTTGGGTCTCTCTATTCTTCTCTTTCTGGGGCTTTCTTTTCTATCTCATATTTTTCTTTTTCAATTATGTTTTCAATTGTGTTATTTATATGTTATTTCCTTTTAATTATGTCTTTAATTATGTTTTTAATTATATTTTCTATTATGTTTCTAATTATGTTTTAATTATGTTTTTAATATATTTCTATGAATTATGATTTATTAGTTTTAGGTAGGACTCATGGGATGGTGCATGCTGCTTCTCTTTTCGTTTCTTTTTCTAGGTCTCTTATCTATTTATATATATTTTCTATTTGTATTTTATATATGTGTATATATATTATTTTCTGTTTTATATATTTTTTTGTTTTTTATTTTCTCTTTAACTTTTTATTTTTCAGGATAGATCATCGAGGGATAGGTTCATCTGCGAATGAATGCGTCGTTGCCTGGCTGGATTCATCATCGATTTCTATGCGCGAATACGGGAAGGATAGGAAGAACATTAGCGCGCGTGTCGGCGGGCACAGGCGTTGGTGTTCTCGGGCGCGATTAAACTTCGTTTGATTGTTCGAATCGAAAACGCGAATTGTAGAGTAGAGTCATCGTTTTTCTAACACTCGTGTGGGTGTTCGGGCGCGATTAAAGGTCCTACCGTGGACTTCGTTTGATTTCTTCAAAATTTCGATGGGGGTACTTCGCGAATTTCGGCTTAACAGTAGAATCTACGTAATTATAACACACACGTGAGTGTCGCGACGCGATTAGTATTTCTAAGGAGTGCGCTTTGTTTGTTCGAAATTCGGAAAGCACAAATTCAGACGTGCTTAATTATCCGTTATGTCTGAAGTGGACGGTGCAATTGGTGGAGCTATCTGTAAGAGGTGTGTTGTAGCTAAGCTACGCATACCCTGTTAGTTAAGAAGCCAGTGCATTGAAGCGGAAAGGTATAGCGGATCGGTAACGCGGAACGCGGATTTTAGAGTAGAGTCACCGTCAGTCCGTGGGTCTCCACATGCAGCAACCTCCACGTGGTGAGACCTGGGTCGGTAATACTTGCGATTTATCGAAATCTTATTTTACATTATGTAGCGCAAGTACTACTGGGCGAATGGCTGCATATTGCTTTTCTAAAATCTTTTCTGTCTAATTTTAATTGAAAATTAAAATATTTACATTCCTAATCATATTTCAGTAGATAAATTAATTATTAAAGATAAACAGAAATAATATTATAGACCTCCAAAATAATTCTTTAAAGAAACGCTCTGAAAGATTTTAATTTCTTCATTATTCTCATTGATTTTTAATTGTTTTCTTGTACGCATTGTTCTCCTTTCGCGCTTGTTATTCAAATTTTGTCCATACCTGTCGTTGAAGTTCCAAAGTTCGTAAGAAGAAAAGCCTTAAATAGGAATTCTTTTTATCTATGTGAAGTCTTCCTCTATTATTTGAACGCTAATAATTTTATATATCTATATATATATATGTACATATGCAAGCTTGGATAATGAGTCTTTAAAATCGAAAGATCATTATCGGCTTTAGCAAATTTATAAAATTAGCTCCAATTATTTTTTTCCCAATCATTGGTAGAATCGTTTTTCTATTCTATTTAAATATGATATATTTGATATAAATGTTGTTTGGACATCGATTTTATTGACGCATGTTACCATAGTATACTACAAAGGAAAACATTTCGCCTGCCATCTAGATAGGTCAGTTTTATTTGCACCTTTTTTTCATTTGCAGCTTCATTTGTATATGGATTATTGATTCTAAAGGAAATAATCTAACATTAATTTTTCAAATAACGTACGTCTTTGAATGAATATTTTATTCATCTTAAAGTAGATTCTAATTCACGAAATATATATCTTAATAATACGATATACATATACCTTAATACAAGTAAATAATATTTTATATACATTTAGAGAAACTTTTTTTTATTATAAGTTTAATTTTATTAAAAATTTTATAATGTTACATATAGTTTAATTCGTACTAATATGCATGTAATTATTTCAATTGGATTGTGCATCTTACTTATGTAAAAATTACATAGCATACTACAACAATCATAGATTCAAAATTGATTTTGATATTACAAATAGAGCTTTGAATTTTAATCGTCGATAGGATATACATATATGTATATATGGTTATCTATCTGCAGGGGTTCTTCTCACATGCGCATGTAAATATTATCAGTCGGTAGAAATTGTCTTTACATAGACATTCTATTGTTAAAGCAATTCAATCAAACGAATCGTCGAACGTATATTAATATGAACAAATGTTTCGAATAAGATGTAATTAAATTCTAAATTTTATAAAAAACAGATATAATAATAGATATATTAAAATTAAATATTTCAATAATCACTGTTTAATCATGATTTAATATATTTCGTATCGCATCTTTCGCTTTCTGTACTCCCAGTCGAAATTGTCCAAATTCTGGTCTCATTCTCATTCCACGATAATAATATACCAGACTCATCTCAAAATCTCCAAGATAATATAAAGCTTCGGCTTTATAATAGACCGCACGAGCATTTATCGAATCTTTTAATTTACATTGCAATGCAGTTTCAGCATCCTGTAATGCATTTTGTGGATTGCCCAATAAAAGATAACACCTGCTTCGTGCTATCAATGCGTTAATATCATTAGGACTCAATTCCAATGCCTTGAAAAAAAGAAATATAAAAATATATATATATATATATATATATATATATATATATATATGTGTGTGTGTGTTTGTATAAATAATATTCTTTTTTTTTGAATCAACTATAATATATCTTAAATAAAAAATGTTTCACACAGAGAAAACAACGGTAATATTTTTTCTTGTAAATTCTGACGCGTTTAAGAGATAAAGAAATAATTTAGTTCTATTTGAGAGTAAGGAAAATAAAAAGAATCTGACACATAAGATGTTAAATAATTTAAAATGATATTATTTTTGAATGTTATATGAATATTTGAGATTTTTCATTGAACCTTATTTATAAAATTAAATGCGACATTGACATTGCCAAGTCGCATTTCTCGTTTTCCTAATTCTAAAATAGAACCCGGCTCTGCCACATCTGAAAGTAATGGACTTTTAATACGGTCTAATCGCTTTTTTTGCTTTAAGGATTGTTTAATATCTTTGCTGCCCATATTAACGGCAGCGGCACGATCTTTATCCGTATAAACTTCTTCCTGACGTTGAGCAACATTGTTTCTCTGTTTTATTCGAGATTTATGCATTTGCACTTGAACTTGTATGAATGACGTATCAGTTTTTCGTATAAATCGTTTATTCGTTTTTTTTATTTTATTTGTATCACCACCATCAGTCGATTCTCGATTATCAATATCATCGTTTTCTTCATTTTTTCCAAGGCAATGCCTCGTATGTATTTTCTTATTTACATTCTTAAATTCTTCGTTGGATTCCTTCGTATCAATATCATCGACGCCAATACTTACGAAGCTTTGTAAAAGACTGTGTTCGTGTAACGTAGGATTTAATATATCGTTTACCTGTAATTCCACAGAATTAAATATTGATGTATTATACTCGTTATTTATCTCACTCATTTTCTTTTTTCTTCTTCGTATTACTCGTTTACTTTACTTGTATCTTAGTAATAATATTTTTTTACACAATGTTTTCTTTTTTTTTTTTCTTTTTTTTTCCCCCCTTAAAAGTTAAATACATATACGCCACGTATACATAATAAATACGCGATATTTAATTTTCTATATTATAAATTAATTATTAAAATACAACAAACGAATTTATCTAGCCAAGAACCATTTTGTACAATTAACACGATACTCCATAATACACCTGTGGGTTGAAACCATTGGTACGTGTGATTATCGACACCTTTACAGGTGGCTTGTTGCCTTAGAAACAGTCAACAACACGTCATATTCCACACGTCTCTATATGACGTGTAACTAAGTATATACATACATATATGAATTTTCCTTAAATAGCCTTGCACCTTCTATTCCAAAATCAGTAGCTATTGGACACCCTTCTGGGTTACGTTTAAGTGATACTGTTATTCACGAAAGGGTAAATATATATTCTATATAATTGATGTTTAATGATCATTCATTGATTGAGAAAATTGTTGTATTTTATGTCCTTTTAATCATTTTCAATATATTTTTGTATTTTGATTTCGTTAAATCTTTAAATATATTTATTTATCTTATCTTTTTTTTTTCTTTCTTTCTTTCTTTCTTTCTCATACAGATACGTCAAATTTATAATATTATTTGTAATTAATTTATTTCTTATTATTTCATTGTAATTTAATTTATCGACGATTAATCTATTCATGACACATTTCGTATCATTAATATAAATTCAAACATTTTATTTTTTTTTAGTTTCTTTTTTTTCCTTCCTTCTTTTTCTTCTTCTTTTCTTTTTTTTCTTTTTTTTTTTTTTGTACAATTCTATTTGTTTTCTTTTTCTTCATTTTCTTATTATCAATTGTCACTGTTATTTTATTGTTATTATTCTTCCTTGCTCCCGAGATTAAAATGCTTATGATATTACGCTTATTATTTTTCTACAATTATATTTATTTACCTGATTATATAAAAGCATAGCTTCATTGTAATTTTCACTTTTTACATGAACCGCAGCCTCGTCTACTCTTATCTTAGCCTCAATAATATTTGTTGAACGTTTCACCTTTGTTGGCATCCTTCAAATCGATTCTTTACAATCATGTGATGTACATGATGCACATGATCCACACTTGTTGATATAGAATATAGAATGGAATGTTTTAAATAATATTATCCCTTAAATAAAATATATCGTAATTACGAACATTTATTTCGACTTAATTCTATACTTACTTTATATAATATAAATTATAATATATTAATTAATTATTGTTTTTCGATATTGATTTTTTAATTTAAAAATAACGCACATATATATATATATATATATATATATATGTACATATAATAATGACCAAATTTCATATCGTATTTGTGTATAAAATTAATTTCATAAAAATTAAATCATACAATGGCTGACCATGCCAATTACAAGGAGTATCGAATAAACTTACAATAATAACAGTGTCCATTCAATATTAATTCGATGTACATCGATTAAGAATTCTTGTATATACTTGTTATAATATCTCTTTTTTTTTTATAAATAAACAAATTATCACTTAATAAAGATAACGTTTAAAAAGGCTTAATTATTTTCAATTATGATATCAATGCTTTGATTACTGACGCATAAGTATTCTGGCTATACTTTACGTAACTTCCCTACCGCTAGGATTAAAAAAATAATCAATAAAGAAATGCTAGAAGGAATGAACGAATCGGCACATTGAATCTTACCCAATCATACTTGTAAACAATATTGTCAACACGAAGCTAACTTCACTTTGGTATTATTTAAATCCCCCAGTAATAATGTATATACATAAATACAGACGTATACATGCATTATCAACTCTCATCAATATTATGTATTAAAATATTAACGTTCGTTTAACAAAACGTTTAATTTGTTTTTTTTTCTTTTTATGAATAATTATAATATCTCGAAGATAAAAAAGAAAAAGAAAGATTTTACTTTTCTTCATAATTACTATTTCTTTTATTTCTATCACATAAATCATCACGTATATATGTATATAGAAGTATATGAAATTATTTATTATTTCTTGTTATTTTTATGATTTTACACTTACAAAGAGTTATACAAATCGATATAGAAAATTATGTTTGAGGTAAGTATCGAAAAATATATTATAATTTCTTTGATAAAATATTTAAATTCATTTTTCTTCACCTTCTAGCTTTTCGATAGCAGAATAAATAAGGATAAATAGGAGTAATTTTTATTAATAAATATATATCGTTATCTATTGTAAATTGACCACATAACCTGTTAAACAAATATTATATATTAATATAATATTTTGTAAAGTTTAAAACTTTTAAATTAGTTTTTCCAAGAATATATTTGATAACTAAGTAATATATAACATATAAGTATGTAGTACGTAGAAAAGGATTCAAATGTACCAATCAGGAACGTTGATAAGTAAAGAAATGTTTGCCGATTGGTGATCTTTCAGTAAGTGCGCGAAATTTCAAATTCAATTACGAAATGACTTGTTTACAGAGCAATTATTATAAATATCATTAGAAACTTATATTATGATTAATGACTGTAAAATAAAATTCAAATAATTTTAATCATTTTAAATTTCCTTCGCAATGGAGAAAGCAATATGGCGGAATTATAATTGGTACTACGATGGCATATGCTGGCTTTATCTTTGGAGACGTAATCTTACGTGTCACGAATTAATGTTTTATTAATATAAAAAGAAGGTAATTATAATAATACAAAAGAATAATATATCAGACATTACAATTTTTTTTTTCTCTTACACGTCCTGGATGTTATTTGCAGGATGTGAACACTAAAACTATTTATCAACTAACCTGTCAATTCTGCGCCGTATCGGTGCGACAGGTATAGTTTGTCAGCTTTTGTGATGAAAATTGTCGATGAGTTTTGTAGAATTGGCCTAGTCATTATAATTAATAACGAACATTTTAAGATAATGTTGAAAACGATATGATTTGACTGTCATTATTTTAACACAATAATTTCCACCTGTCGATGAAAAGGTTAGTGTGTCATATATTTATATCTTTGCCTATCTCTTTAAATGGAGAAACATAATTCGATGTCTTTTCGATTATAAACAGAATTGAATGGATTAAATGATATTTAATGATGTTAAAATAATAATAATAATAATGATAAATATAATATTTTGATATATAAAAATTAATATTTTTCTAAATTCTTTTAGTTTCTAACAAATTAATGAATAAAATTTGTGTGTATGTATGAACATATGGTTACACACGTGATATACGTAATGTGTACACAAACACACACATACAAATATCAATAAAATTAATATAACAATTAGTTGAAGCACTATTCCAATTATTTTTTTAGAAACTTAAAAAATTTTATTTAAAATGGAGATTGGTATTGTTAAGATCGCAGAGGATAAAGATTTTGAAAAGTTAAAACAGCTCTATGATAATAATAATGATTGGAAATTAGATTATAATAAGCCCGATTTGTCCGTTTGGACAAAAACTGTTCCTGGTATTAGTTTTAAAATGGTAAAGGTAAGTTATTTAATTAAGTTATTTTATAAAAATTAAAGTTACATAGAATATTATACTGGGAATTATTATATTGTAGATTAGAACAAGATTTTCTGATGTTATGCCAGAAACCTTATATGATGTTTTACATGATCCTGACTATAGAAAAGTCTGGGATACTCATATGATTGAATCAAAAGATATAGGATTTTTTAATCCAAATAATGACATAGGATATTATTCCAGTTAGTATTATTTGATTTTAGATTATAATTTATAGTTTATATTAACAATTGTATTAGATATGAATGATTCGAATCTTTAGTGTCCTGTGCATCTCCATTGAAAAATAGAGATTTTATATTACAACGTTCGTGGCTTGATACTGGAGGAGAACAACTTATTATAAATCATTCTGTTTATCATAAAGATTATCCACCTAGGAAACATTTTATTAGAGCAACATCATATTTAACAGGTAGAATTTTTATAAAGAAATAATTAAAATTCGTCACTTATCATATCGTCATGTATAATTAAATAAAATATTCAAGGTTATATCGTAAGGCCTTCACGAAATGGAGATGGTTCAGAATTGGGTTATGTATCTCATACAGATCCTCACGGTAAAATACCTGTATGGTTAATGAATAAAGTTACCCAAATATTTGCTCCAAAGGTAAAATATTTCTTATCTTAATAAATCATTCAACTATAAAGAATTTATTAAAATTAAAACAGATGGTGAAAAAGTTACATAAGGCTGCTTTGGGATATCTAGATTGGAAAGTCCAAAATAATCCTAATTATAAACCATGGCACTTTCCAGAACAAATAACAGCACCACGAATACGAATAGAGGATGTAAGTTTGTAAATTATCACATATTTGTAGAATAGGATATATTTGTTTTCTTTTTATTAATAGATGGATATATACCATTAAAATTAGAATCTAGCTAATATTCGATTTATCATTATAGTGCGTTAAATCTACAGAAGAAAAAAATTCCAAAGCTAATTATGTTGATGAGTCTGAATTAAAAGAGATACCTCATAAACAATCTACAATAATGGACAATGATTAATATCTCGTAGTATTGATGTAGATCTTTGCATAGATAAGAGTAGAACTATATAGTACAGTCTGTTAGGTACACACTTGCAAAGTGCAAATCATGTGTACGTTTTTGAGAGGACAAAAGTTTATGATGTAACTACTGAAGTTTTACACTCCGCATTGCGCCTTGTTGGCTACTATTTTTAAATGATGATGTTATAAAGGACAAATTTTATCATGGCCTGCTTTACATTAAGTGCTAATTTAAGCTTTTTATAAATGAATCCTACGTATTGTTATAATATAAAATATAGTTCTATCTATTTCCAAAGAGAATTTAAAGAAATGCACAATATAGAGAATATATAGTTATCACTTTGATCTCTTTACTACGTACATTTTCTGAATATTTCAGAATTCTTATATATTGCATTTATATTAAATTATTATACATGTACTTTAACTAATGAAACCACCTATCTCATATATTGTGTGTTTCTCATTATTTATTATTAATATCCTCTTAACAACTGAATAAGTAAAGATTGTTTGTGCCAGCTATATATACTAAAGCGTTATATTTTAGAGTAATATACTGTGATTATAGTGCAAATAATCTTATTATGTTTCTTGTTGAAACAGAAATCAAAAAATAGCGGCAACAATTTTACAACAATTTTCTTCCTCATGGCAAACATTCCGCCAATAGTGTTCATAATTATTCTATTAATTTAAATAGCTTTACATAGAATATTATTATTATCTAAAACGAAGCTTTTACACATTTATTCTGAATCCTAATTTAAATAATCTTAAAAAAATCTTATAATATGTGTGTGAGTAAAGGAAAAAAGATAAATGTAGTAATTTGTTAAAAATATTTATAGTCTGATAATATTATAGTCTGATAATAATGTGCTTCATATTGGCAAAAAAGTGTTATGATAAAGATTTCAATTTAAAGAAGACTTATTCACAGATTGTATTATCGTCTATTAATGATAAAGTTTTTTACAATATTTAAATATTATTATATATACACGAGTTTAAATACTGTATCTAAAAAAGTAAAGTGAATTTTTTAAGATTTATTATCAACATAATTTATTCATTTTATCGATTTCCATACTTCTTTACAAAAGAATGGTTTCTAAAATCAAACTTAAGCGACCTAAATATATATATATAGACATATATATATATACATATATGTCTATTATACTACATATATATATACTTTGATAATGAATCTGTATTCAACTATTAAACATATATTATTATATTAAATGTTATTTTTTTCTTGTAAAATAGTTGTTTCTTATTCAGGTTATATTAACATATATATATATATATATAATATAAATCATTGTAATATCATATATAGTCTGTACAAAAGTTAAAGAAATAGAGGTTTTCCACAAAATTCTTCATAATTTATAATATAATTCCTATATCCTAAGATCAAAAACATAATGAAACTATGAGCGCAAAGAACAGAAAAGAAAATGAAGAAAAAAAAAGAGAAGAAACACGGCGAGAAAAAAGAAATTTAATATATTTTTATATTTGTATACTTTATTTTCATTAATGAATTTGTTTATGTATACATTTCTATGCACTTGTATATATGTATGCATTTCTATGCATTTATATATATGTATGCATATTTATTTCTATAAAAAATAAAAAAATAAATAAATAAATAAAATATAAAGAATTAATTTATTATTACCATTAATTTCACATTGTAAATGAAATCCTTTTTTCATTTATGGCGGGAAAAAGTTCTTAGAAATTAAAAAAAATTCATTATACGATACGCCATCTAGAGACACGCGCTTTAATTACTTTGATTGAAAGGCGCGCTCTCCGTAAAATTAAATTAGTAAAGTATGGAATCGATAAAAGTGTAAAATGTAAATTGTTAAAATAAAAAGAATGACATAAATCCCATAATATCTCCCTCTTGTAATCAAATAATTCTTATTTGAATACAATTTTTGTTCTGCATAATGTTCCGTTTCGTTTCGTTTCGTTTCGTTTCGATGAAACAAAATTTATAACAATTTGTTCCATACATGCGATATACTTTTTATCAACGAATAGAATTATTCGAGATAATTGTAAGGATAATGATACTTTTGTAGAAGATTTTTTAAATGTCCTCGGAGAAGCTCCAAAATATATTGTTAATTATAATAAATAAATTTAGAAGCAATGAAAATGAAACAATAGGATAGTATTTTCTTTATACTTATTTTATTTAAGGCACTTAATCGATACTTCATATTTACATATTTTTATAGAGCTGTTATAATTGACATGTACATACCTATTTACATTCATACATACAGAAATGCCCCCATTATAAATCGGCTAACATTACATTCATTATTTCGCGAAGTAGAATTTCATATTATATATAAAAATAAATGAATTGTTTTGTTTGTGGTTCTTTTTTCTTTGATTTTTTTTTTGCTTTTTCTTTTTCTTTTTCCTCCCCCCCTTATCTTTTCTTTTCTTTTCAAAAACGAATAGCAAAACCTTGATATTGCGGTCTCGTGACGTTCTCCCACATCGTAAATTCGCAATGATGAATTTTACTTCCGGGACTTCCTACCGTTGACAGCCACTGTGTCCTGTATGAATAAAACGTGAATAATGAAACAGTAATATCAACGATTATGATAAATAACAATAATGATAGACAATTAAAAAAGTTAAAGAAAAAGAAAAAAAAAAAGAAGAACAAGTTATATATCTAATCTGTATTAAAATAATATTTCATTTGATACGACGGACTATCAACGATTTATATTGAAGCGGAAGGAAATTATTTCAAATCACAATCGAGTTACGACTAAAGTCTATCATCAGTTAAATAGAACGTTGTACAGACATTTGCCGCGACGCCAATTGGCCGTTGAAATGAACTCTCGTCATCGAGCACGTGTCTCTGGTACAAGTAGTCTATACGTGCTATAACACCTTCAAGGGCCTCAAAATTATTCTTAGCTATCAAATTAGATCCAGTTTCGATTTGTACAGACGTTTTAGCGCATCACATGTACATCGATGTAAACGAGGTAAAATAAATGTCGCAAATATAAATACTTATTAAAAATAACTACACGAAGTACATGATATATAATAATATATATAGAGATTTAATTGTATCTCGGTTAAAATTAAAATTGCAGTTAAAAAAAAAAAAGAAGAAAAAAAATCTGTGAAAAAAAAAGACCGTGAATAGATACGTGAAAGTAAAATAAGTGTAAATGTAATTGACAATGGTCATCGCTTATTTTGACGATTACGAAGAAGAAGATTACCAGGCACTACTGGTCTAAGCTATTACTTCATTAAATCATCATTAAAGTCAGTCTTTGACCTAATGCTCGTTATTCGCTAATTCACAACTAAGGTCATAGGTTGTTAGATTCGTATTCTGTCTCATTGCATTTAAGGATCCACGTGCAAAAGAAAAGAAGAGAGAAAAAAAAAAAGAAAAGAAAAATGCGTCAATTGAAAAACGACAAAATTGTTTCAATTTTTGACGAATAAAAATCATCAATTTCACGATCGAACGTTCATATCATTTAATATTTCATCGTTTTAATAATACTAATGTTTATTATCAATATAAATATATTCTTTCAATATGTCGCATTTATTATTAATCGTGCGTCGTTTATTAGAAATTGAATTATCAAAAAAAAAAAAAAAAGAAAAAAAATTAAACAGAAAAAAAGCAAGATAGATGTGCGACGACGAAAAAAAAAAAGAAAAGAGAGAGAAAATAAAGGATCATCGAATGATTGTATTTCAAGAGCAGTAATGACCTTGAAGGATTACCTTCGTTAAATCAAAATGACACTGTACGTTCTATACTGACATACATAGCTGAAGACGAATGACAGAGCATCGAGTCGACCGATCTATGGTATGGGGTAACAAGCTCCTACAGCTATTATAGAACGCGTGCCTTTGGCAGCAAGATCTGATCCAGATAATTAATTGATGCCACGGGCGATGACGTACGCACTTCCGATTAAAATGGACCTTCTAGTAAAGAATTTTCATCAATTTTTGCAGATTTTTCAAACTATTTCATTACCTCGATCATGTCAATGACGTGTTTCTTTTTCGTGATTTCCTTTAAATCTCATGGAGAATACGTATTTAGAAAAGAAATCACGAAGTATACGACACTAAGATTTTAATGTGAACTTGAAAATATATTATGAGATACGATAATAATAATAGATTATAAGATATCGCAAGTAAACGAAGCAAAGAGACAAAAGTGTTTTTTTGTTTTCTCTTTTTCTTTTCTCCTTTTTGTTTTTATTTTCTTTCTTTCTTTCTTTTTTTTTTTTTTTTACAATTTTTTCGAGAAATTGATATAAATTTTTCTATACCTATACGATTTAATCGTTATTCACCTTAAGGACACATACTTTTTCTAAAAACTTATCATTAAGATTGAATGATGTTAACTTACATCTGATCGACGAGCGCACGAGGTCCTTGCATCTTTCCAAGTATCGTCCCTGTTTTACTGTTTTTAACCCAACCGCATATTCCAAGCTGCAGACATAGATCCCTGACGTATTTGGGAAAATATACGCCTGCAATCGAATCGATATTTTTTATATGTTATTATTCATAAGAAATAATATCGTGGAAGGATGATATTATATTCTTAATTAATTCGTAACTTTAAGTCGAATTAATGAAACTAATGAAAAATAAAAAGATACATTTTTACGTAGTTGCAAATAAATATCCAATTCTTTCATCTTCTCTTATCATTAATGCTACAAGGAAGATAAAGACCTGGTTAACGCGATACACGGCAAAGTATCGTTCTGTCCGCTTAGTCACGAGACAAGTGGCCATATCCGACCATTAATTTATGCTCTAACGTTATCTCGTCTCTTAGGTCGTTGAATTCGTCTCGATCTTCTTTATTAAGGATGACGAAAGAAGAAAAGAAAGAAAAAAGAAAAAAAAAACGGTCTAAAGATAATAGAAAAATCCCTTACGTCTTCTTAAATTGGATCGTTTTCAATCGTAATACCTAATTTCTAAACATAAACGCAAAGACGAGCCGTCGAGGGATCGACACTATTCTTTTAATTCTTTTGAGATTGAGATCGAAGGGAATTCGATGATCGACAATTTCAGAACAACTCGATATATTTTATGGAAAATTGATCTATCGAATTGTTATCATTGTTATCTCATAAAAAGACAGATATCTATATTGAAATGTATTTATATGTTACATACGATCGTAAATGTTTCGTAAACGATAAATAAATTTTTATATATCATTTCATCGATCTGAAAAATATTTAATTATAATATTCCATTGATATTCTAACGAAAATCAATATTGATCATTAAATTATTTAATGAAATGAAGTATATGGATTTATTATTTGTTTTTTATTCGCCAAAAAAAAAGAAAAGGGAAAATC